TTTTCATTTTTTTCAAAACCAACATAGTTAAAATGGTTTAGTTGGTTTTCGGTAAGTAATTTTTTGTCAAAGCCAATTTACTAATCGACATGAATAATATACTTAATGCTTATTTATTAAATTCGGACGAGAATTTCGGTAAAAATTCAGTTAAACAGACTTTAGTCAAAAAGAATAAAAATACCTGTCGGTACGTAGTTCGTTCAATTTGTACTATACTTACTAGTCGCGTACCCTGCATGATTTTTCAATTGAAGAGGACTGTTAAACATTATAGTTAACAGAAATTACAAGCACTAATGCGAGAGAAGTTTAAAGTTCTATAAATAAGAAGAAGTGGGACTGAAAATCTGAGCCCCCTAGGTTATTTACTGCTATTTTATTTTCATATTGACTATTTTTTTTAGGTTCCGTCGAATTTTACCAATAATATATTCCTTGCCTGTTAACAATTTTTCTATAAGAAATCATCCTCCAATCATTAAGTATAGTATTTATTCTAAAAGACAATTATCTTATTGGTGAATTGATAAAGTCATTTTTAAATTTCCCTTGTAGTTTTCTTAATAGTTATGAAAAACGGAACAATTTACACAATAACAGTTTTTGTTATTTTTTGTTGAAATTCAGTTGAAAATAATCATCAGGACCAAACATTTTCACAGAATACTTTGACTAGCCCTTTCTAGATATGGTTAAAGGTTCCAAAGCTTCTTGCGATTTTTCAGCTATTTATTTAGGGATCCCAGATTTATTTTTATACAATTCGGGACATTATAAGACACATTTGAAATTTACATTTAGCATTAGCACACAAAATGGAGAAGGGGTTGGTAAGGACATAGCCCGTTCAATCAAATTAAACAATTCGTTTTTAATTTTTAGTTAGTTTTTTTTGTATATAATGTTGAAATCAAACTGACATATTATGTCAACAAAAATTTAATTCGTAACTTCGTAATTTGTCTACAGTACGATATTATCACATTTCATTTTCGTTTAAAATTAATAAGCAAATAGACACTATAAAGTATAAGAAACAAGGGACATACGAGACGATTCGAAACACGGGACAAGTGTTGTTGGTGGGGACACTAGGACGTTCGATTTAAATACAAGACGATTCCGTATACCGGACGTAGATGATGGGACCTCTTTGTTTACAGGCGTCTAACGTTTTCGATGTTTTTTTTTTTTTTTTAGTTTTTTGTGAATACAATTGTTTCGGCCGAGCAGAAATGCTCGCGAATTTAAGACGACGGTATGATATCGTAAGTTGTAGGTACTAATTGTTGAAAAAAAAAAAATCCCACGTAATACGAGGTGTTTTATTTCATAAATTATTTTCATGAGCGTTTTAAGTTCGAATTTTCATAAAATTCACCGTGATAATTTCAAATCTCTAATTATTCTTATTATTATTTTTTTTTTCTGGTCTGCGCTCCACTAGTCTGCGTGCGCGCGGTTGTACCGGCGAACACGCGTGCGAATAAACTGTAACCGTATTATTGCGTACCGGCCGTATGTTCGTGATTAGCATGCTATACCTATAGGTGTAATAATGTTATATTATCGAATATCGCGTACATATCCCGCGCGCAGTTCTGTACACCGTCCGCGCGAAATATTATAGGCATTATCATAACTTATGAAAGTGAGCAAAGAGACGCATTCAAAATACACCCATTGAATACAATTTTCAATTGTACACCTATGTTATACGCCCGTTGTTAAAATTCAAAATGTCAATTGCATAATTATTATACGCGTATGCCCGTGCACGAGAGTATGGGCTATCCGTCCGATTGTATGTTACATAATAACTATAATGTACAGTTGCCGTGATGGCGACGACGCGGCCGCAGGTACAGCGTGATAATATCGCGCGCGTATACGAATCGGTACCGATCGGTTTTATTAATGAAATTCGCATTGGTTTTTTTTTCTTTTCATTACTGACATTCCGAACGTCCGGCGAAAAACTAAAACCGCGCGGCGATTATACATACACATCATATCGGTAGGCGCGCACCCGTATCCAATAGTACTGGCCGTCCGGCCCGGCTTTGCCCGCGCAATAAATGCTCGTCTTTATGTTAGGTCGGGTCATACTACAGGCGAATAATAATAATAATAATAATAATAATAAAAAAAAAAACAAAACAAAAACGATAATCGTCGTTTTTCTTCCCGTTTCGACCACCTCTAGACTCGCACAAGTGTCTCCGGTTAAAACATTCGTTAGTTCTTTCGCCTTTTATTCAGCTGCCCAGCGGCGGTCTAGTCGCCGTCCGTCGGGTGGTTTGGGTCTACTTACACTGCTGCTGGTCAGATCGAGGGTTTCAGCGTATAGTTTAAAATGTTCCCCGGACAACACGCGTAAAAATCGGTCTAGCGGTTTCGGAGAACGTCACGCGTGACAAAGATTTTCATTTTCACGTTTGTACGTTACATGGATTACGACGACGACGTTTAGAAACGTTCAGTTTGAAATCGAACGGTGCGCGTCGCTCGGGTTTACTATATTGCCGATACGTACGTACGGGTACCGTACGCGACGGCAGAACGCGTATAAATATTGTGTTAACAAATAAAACACACACGAAAAAAAAAGCAATAAAAAAGATGAATTATTAAAAAAAAAAAATACATAAATATATATATATATATATTATGTATGTATTTTTAAACGGCGAATTTTTAATGGAATAAAATGTGAATATAATGGTGTGCCAATAACAGCAATCTGATGCGGAATGTTCTTTTATAATATACGCGCGCGTATAAAAAGGTACCTCTATATATATAATATGTGTATATACGACGAAATGTGGTCGACCGTCAGTGAACACGGTCAAGTGAAACTTCAAGGCATTCTCAACATTGTCAAAAATATATATAGTCGTTACATAATCTTTTTTTTTTTTTAGTTATTGGTATTTTTTTGTAATTTGGCACAAATGATTATCATTTTTATAGGTGTTTAAAAGCGTGCTATTCGAATTGTCTGCACACCGTCGTCGGCATCATCAACCGCAGCAGTGGCGGCAGAGACCGCTAATCGCTGACCGCTGCCATTTTTTAATATGTTCATCGATACCTGAATACGATATGTCATAATGTAAAACGCACAAAAGGGGTTTGTCGTTTGTGTTTGACGCCGAATTTTTTACGCCGCTTGTATACACGCGTTACGCGGCCAACGTCGAAAATCCGATGTGACGTTTTGTCATTCGGTAGATCCGATTTCACACCGTTGAGTTTAATACCAGAGCGGATTTCGAAGTTAAATTTAAGAATGTTATCTGTTTGTTAGTTGAATTTTTTTTTCGATATTTCAATTTTCAAGCGAGATACAAAGATTTTGAAATTTTAATATTTCACGTGCTCGTGTCTCCTTTAAAAATTAAAAAATCGTAAAAAAAAAACCAGCGTATTTACGCTGATAACATTCTTATCTTTAAGTTCGCTTAATTTCATTCTAATATTAAACAACACAAAATTCGATGGAAATATACTGAACGAAAATTTGACATTAGCCGTACCACAAATACATATTATACACTATACAGATTGTCACACGAAGAAATATTGCGTAAAGTATAAAAATTTTTCGGAATATTTTATTTGCAATTTAAGAAACACGTCAACATTAAAATGTTAAATTGCCATTATTTTATTTTTACCCTTATTTTTTTGTGAGAATGGGAGGGAGGTGAAACTACTGCCAATAATTTTGATGTATAGTGAAACACTATTCAAACGCCGTACGTCGTGCCACCACACAGATTATTTTCCACGACTCTCCCCCTATTCAAACATAAAAGTGGAATATCTTTTCAAAGGGTTGAAGGCAATCAAAAACATCAACACCAAACTGTATTCAAACTAACTCTAATACTTCATCTGTTTATGGAATTTTTAATATAAGTTACCATTTGGAAATTAAAAATAGTTTCACCTGCCGACGATAAGGGTTACAAAAAATAATGGAAACGTAATATTTTAGAGTAGCAAGTTTGATAAATTGTTAAAAAAAAAAGTTTTCGAAAAAGTTAATACTTTCCGAGATATTGTAATGGTCATAGATTCGGGTAGTATTCATTATCCTAAATACAGTATTTAGAATACTATTTAAACAATAATTATTTTTCAGAAGTATTCGATACTGTAATTTGAATAGTTTGAAAATTATTCTATTAAAAAAAAATAATAATAATAAATACTTTCTCAGTCTCGTTTTAGAGTGTTTAATTTTTTTTATAAGAAACGACTTTTTGGGTTAGTAAAAACATTACGATTTGTCCACGTATTAATTTTATTTTTTATTTATAATTAATTTAAATAATGCGAAATATCCACCCGGTATAAGTACCTAATTGATTTCAAACATTTTCGAAATTCCCAACAATTTACATACAATACATAATCATATGAACTATCATCAAATATCAGCTATAGTTTCCTTAAGTCATCCGCGAACTTAACCTTACGTGTGTTTTAACATCTATTCCTAAAATATGTTTAATATGTTTCGCGAAGTATACGGACTATTTTGAAAATACTATTGTTATTGTAAATTATTTTAGCAAAGTTTGGCAATGGGTTAGTGGGACACCCTGTATGTATATATATACATAGTCCGTATTTTATAGTATTACACGACAACGGTTGTTTGAATTAATTTGCATAGGAAGCAAATATTTTATTACTCAATATCGCGATAGGCAGGTATAGGTACTTAAAACACATAAAAAGCTGGTCACACAATTGTGTGCGACGCATTTAGAGAGAGTTAAAATATCTTATATTTACGTATATTAATTGTATATTTACTCGTAGGCAGGTAGGTATATTCATAGGCTCACTTAAACAACTTTGTACGAGTATTTTTTATTTTTATTATTTTTTTAATAAATATTATAATATACCTATTGGCTATTCGTATTTCTAAACAATAATTTGCAGGGGCATTTTCGTCACATCGTACAAATGATTAAATGGAAACACTACTTTTAAGAAATTCCAATACACAGGTCATGATATGGAGAAAAGATCACAGCGAAGGAGCTGGACACGGAGAGATGGCAGAATGTAGTGAAAAAAGACGCGGAAGTTTAGTAGAAGGAGATTTAGACGGGAAGATTCATAAGCAGCGAATAAGGAAAACTGTAAGCGAGATTATAAGACGAGATTGTCCTATAGAGGCTGATTACTTCCTAAGAAAAATATTTAAAATCAGTTTAATCAAAAATATAAAATCTGAAAATTTCGAAATATAACCGGCATCGACTGCGTAAATATTTGAGTGCTAATAAAAATTATAACCGTAAAGAACTTGGACAAAATTCTGTTAAAACATAGTATATATTTTACATTGTATTTCTTTTTTAATTAAATTCAATAGAAAAAAATATCTGTATGTAATTACTAATTATAGTTAATTTATAAATGTATTACTCGTTAAATTTTGTTCAATAATAAAAAAAATAAACTCGATATTTCAATCACTTAATTTTTTTTAATTTCCGCATAATACGCTTTCCCGCTTAAGACGCTCTAGAGAGCTGGTCCTCAAAGAGCGTCTTAAGTGAGTTTTGCTGTAATTAATTAATCGGCAAAGCATAATACATGTTACGTAATTTTGAAATTATTTTTGAATTTATTAACTGATTAATATCCATACACTTGGTTTGAATATAAAAATATCCAGAAGAATATTCTTGACCAGAAGTTTCCTTAATATTTTGGTGACTGAAAAAAATTGATGGTGGAGAAATATATGACCTAGATTTCAATTTTTTTTTTTTTTATTTCGAAAGAAAACAGCCAGTATGGAGGATAACTGTATTCTTGTATAAATTTAGAAAGAAAATGACCGTACGTCTATGGTTGTACATTTGTCTACACATAACATATTATTTCACATCGACGGTCATTGAACGATTGAACAAAATAAAAAAAAAAAACCTGAAGATACAATTAAAAAGGTTAAACACCTTATAATAGCATTACTTAGGCATTGTTATTATTCCAACAATCAACAAAATTTCGCACACTCGTGTTAAATTTAATATTTAATAAAAACGTTTTTTTAGTGTTTATCAAAATAGGCAGCCATAACAATTATTAAAGAATTCAACTTCGGAAATAAAGTACCTAATAAAATTTCCGTACCGCATACGCAATAGATTAACTGTATACGAGTCAATTATTACATTAAATTCTATTTTATCGAAATCCACGCGAAATATCAACAAGCTATTTGATAATGTAAATATTTAAAGTTTTCCAATTATTATCGAGTATACCAGCTAGCTAGCTAGCGTGAACTACGTATTCTTATACGTTTTTTAATTCGTAAAAAAATATTTTCAATCAATAATTGATAAACCTTTCGTATTTTATTTTATTTTTTCGATGAAAAATTCTTTAATATAGAAAAACACCGTTTATATTTATAAATTCGATAACTAGATAGTGGGCTTTTTGTAACAATATACTAAATAATTAATAAAATACTATCACTTTGTACACTCGGCTTCAAAGTGTACGCTGTACAGAATGATGATAAGGTGTAATAATAATTATATAATTATCAACATTTTATCGGTACTTTTTCCCGTTTAGGTGACCTTATATGAGAAAAATTGAATTACTGATAACTAAGTACAGAAAGATAAACAATCGTTTCAGAAGAAACCGAATAGTTGTTGAGCTAAATATTTTGTGTCAATAAAATAATAGATTTGAATAATTTGATCGTTTTCGGAATTGTGTATGTATACGTCGGTGTGTGTGTGGGGGAGGGGGTGATTTTATGAGTTTGAAGACTCATCAGTCACTGGCTGATGTACGATAACGAAGTAATAAGTATATGAATTAGTATATATAACGAGTTGACTTAAACTTGAACGTTTTTACAAAAAAGCGTTAAAATGCAAGTTAAATTATTGTTATATTTATTTTATTTTGGGAATATATTATCGATAAATGGGTGGGTCGAATAATTGTTGTCTAGAACCTGATAACGCGTGATAAAGTTTACGCACTATCACTATCGTATAACGACGAATATCACCATAATTGGAGTCGTGAAGCCCAAACAACGAATAATAAGTTTTATAAATATATCAATTACAGTAAAAGTTTGTATTCTTCTACGTATGCGTTCGAATATTTTAATAATAGGCTGCAAGGACTCCAATATTTGTGGTCGGTTACTCGCGGCAATGAAATTGATTACAGTAACTTAGAAATGTACTAAGTCTAAATTAGAGTGGCTCGGGTATTCGACAATTTAATTTTTATTGAAACCGCTTTTCAAAACTATCTCTATGTATAACTGGGTTTAATTCTTCAATTTAACATATGTGCATAGAATATGTCTTACGAACGCCATTTTAGTCTGGTCAATTTAGTTTCGGACTTCCAATGTAATAACATGCGTTTCCTCCAACCACTGCACAAGTGCTACGAGTTCCCTGATTATTATTATAGGTGTAATATCCGGTCGCTTATGTAGTCGTTGTTCGTTGAATATATTATATTATTAGTCGCGGTTTTTATTCGTTGATGTAATACTATAGTTAAAATAGTAGCATTTCGTGACACCACCGCGTTCGATCAACATGAATGCAATAAAAAAAAAAAAATTATAATAATAAAAAACATACATCATAAGAAAACTAATAGATCCCTTGCTACGTTCCAAATCTAAAAACAATTTAAAACCCTTATAAAAAAACCTACTACGGTTAACACATTTTTTTAGAATCTTTATAAAGAACCTAGTGTGAAATGTCCAAACATTTTGATTGGGTTGAAATAATTTTATCCGTATAAAAATACAAATTTAAAAATGTCGAAAATTCTTATTATCAGCTTTTTAACGATCAAAATGTTTTGAAAAGGCCGATATAAGTATTCTATTATAAAATGTCTAAGATCAATAATTAATATATTTACAACAAAAAAACAAAATCGAAAATAATGAAACCATTGTTGTCGTTAAATTTCTCGATTACTTACGTTTTTTTTTTCAGTTAAACTTTTTATTTATTTATAAAACTATAAGGAAAATTAGGAAAATATTTTTTTTTACTTACTAACTGGACAATATTTTCTTTCATAAAAGATGTTACTCCTAAAATTCAAAACAAGATTTCTGGTAGAAAAATAAAATCGAAAAAATGTAAAATAATGAAACTTTTATTAGCGTAAATTTGTCCATGTTTCCTATGGGTACGTTTTGTCTGGACTATTATTAAAACTAAGAAAATTATTAAATGAGCTTCTCAATTTATCCATTAAATCTAGATTACTACAAAAAAGCTCCCATGTCGTTTTTCGATTGGAGCAGTATTCCTAGTAGAAAAGTGATTCACTGCAGATACAAAAAAACATAAACATATTATAGTAAACCAACGGAACCAACAGAATCTAAAAATTGTAACTTCCGTAACGAAATATTCATTCGGGTGTCGTCAATTTGTATTAAATTTTACTGAAAATATAAATAAGCCGTGGTATACAAGACAATTTACGGCGATAACGGTTTATTATTTTCGGTTGTTTTTTTGAAATTTTGTTTACAATTTTGTTGAAAATTAATCGTAGAGACTTGAATTTTACACAGAACATTAATATTAGCTTTTTCTAGACGTAGTAAAATGTTTAAATCATTCTGGCGATTTTTTGAGCTATTTATAGGCATATTACAATTTCAAGTTTATTTAGATTTTATTTGGTTTTAAGCGGATATGACTTTTATGACTTCTCAAAAATGAATTTAACAAGGGGTTCGTAATTTTTACGTTTAGTTCTACTTAGTTGCGAAGAAAAACAAAGTTGAGCGTAATCTGGTAGCTTTTTTTTAAGCGTTTTAAGTTCAATTTTTTTTTTTTTTAGAATCCTGTTTAAATGATAACACTATTTAATGTCATAGAACTATATTCTATTCACTATTCACTATATTATATTCTACTCGCTCGACGAAAACCCCTCGAAAAAACCCCTTGAAAAAAATCCCTCTGTATGCACGGTCGCGGCGGCAGCCTGCCGCCTACTACGACGAGCTACGACGATCGCCGTACACCGCCGACCAATCACACACCACAGCGGCTCAGTATGAATGCGCGGAAGCGGGTCAACTTACAACCGTAAGGTGAATATAGTATATAATATAATATAATAAATACCGCATATTATACATTTTGTAATTTAAATGAATATTATTTTATTTCTTTTTTTTATTCGTGTCAGGTGCATAATATAACAGTAACAGGTAAAGATAATTTTAGTAACAGTAATATAAATAAACAATACATGATAGAATAAAATGAAATAAAACAAAGTAACATTACATTGAGTAACATAAAATAAAATAAGATATAATGTTTAATATGATATGGTAATATAGTTCAGTATTATAAGGCCGTTATTATTATGTTGTTTCGGCTCAAATACGGGCCACGTTAATTCTTTGGTTTTTGTCTTTTTGGATGTCTTCTGGAGTGCACGTGTGGGAGCAAGCTTTGCATGTGATGATGTGTTGCGTTGTCTGTTTTTCTTCATATAGGCACAAGGTGTCTGCGCTATCTAGAAGCTCCCATTTTATTAGGTTATTTTCGTTTGTCCCATGCCTGTCCTGAGTCTGTTTAATGTACGCCAAACCGGCCATGCTTCATTATGACACGGTGTAAGTGACTCGTTTGGCACCCAGCTGGAGGTACTGCTTATCTGTTTTCTCCATCTAGGCACCTATCTCTCCATATGAATATTATAAGCAGTACACTGTGAAATCCGAAAAATACGAGGTGAACAAAGGTCACATAGGACTAGCCTGATTTTCGTGCACACGAAATTGTAAGTTTACATACTTAAGATTTATGTACGAAAAAAAAAAAGTCAAACGGAATTTGTAAATCGTACCTATACCTACCTAATATATCAATACTCATTTGTTATTGTATTATTTACTAATAATACGAGCGTTTATAGTAATAAGCAGTATAGTAGTTCATGTATTTTATTTTATAGGGGGGGGATACAAATATTTTGCAAGCATTATAAATTATAATGTATAGTTGTAATCAAATTACCCTTTCTAATATTCAATAATTACATTTTTTTATTTAAATAAGGCGTTTGGTGAATATAATACTGCCGCAGCAGGCTACAGACGTGGCGGTTTAGGTGGTACAGTACAGATTTTTAAACAAAAGTGTAAAGTGTAATATATTATGCCGATTATATTGTATTTAAACTGGTGGTGGTATGA